TCCAGGGTTTTGCCAGTGTTGGTTGGTGTTTCAGGATGAGCCCATGCTCATTGCATGGTTTCCCACTGGATCATGGGATATTCGTTCCTGGTTCATTCTGTATTTCAGCACTGCCCTGTTTAACTGCATCTCAGCTATTTCCCAGATCCTTTATGACATAGGGCCAGAAGGGCCTGCTGGGTCGTGGAGTCCGATCCCACGTATTCACAGGCAGGCATTTGCCTTAGAATTCCCCAAAATAGCCACGACAACCCCCCAAAACAGAAATAGCAGGCACCCCGTTGACAGGCAGCCATGGCCCGGCCTGTGCCTTGCTGCTGCAGTAACAGGGAAACGACTGGGTATTTTTCCATGCACATCCTGGACTTGTGCTGAACTCTAGATGACAAGCTCCCCAGTGAGCCTGCAGCACCTGTTTTTCAAAATGACGTGCTGGTGGACACAGGTCGGATCCTCGGATCTCATAAGGGGTTTCTCAGAGGCCCATGTGCACCCAGTCAGGATGTTCCCCACTGCAGCTGATAACGAGCTGGGTACCTACCAATGCAGGGGCTTGCAGGCTCTCCCCAGCTGTCCCTTTACCTCAAGCTGTTCTTTAAAGTTAAAAATCCACATTGAACTTCACAGAGGGTGAAAGAATAGCCCCTCTTAAGCTGACACTGCAATCAAAGGTCTCCTGTTACGCCTGGCCATCACACAGCTTCTCTGCTAACTGCGTACTAGCCTTGGTTTATTTTATGGGTCCTTTGCTTTCTGATCCGGATTCAGCCTCCCAGATGTTCGGTTAACTCCCTTATTTTAACTATATACAAAGGGCACCCTTTGTTCCAACAAGCACACTGCAGTCATTGTTCTCAGCCGGGAACCTACCGCGTGGCCGTTCACCTGTTTCCTATGTGACCTGCCATCCATCTCCCAACCTTTGTGCTGGCTTGATGTAAAATTATTCATTCGGGCAGGGAAGGGGAAAGGAATCCATGCGAAAGTTGTTTCCTGGTCACTAGCCTTGGATTGATTAGGGTCATGCTACAGGACAAAGAGCCAGCGAGGAAGTTAGGCTGAATGGGAAACTCTTTCATCTTTACCCTTTTGGAATTCAGTGGAATGGAAAATCAGATCAGTACCTCGAATGTTTTGCATTTGATATGTTTGAGAGGAAAGGGGACAACTTCTTCCAGGAGGAACAGAGCCAAGACTATCCTAAACACAAGTGTCTCCGCTGGGCCATATTTGGTAGTTGGTCTAATAAAAGGTATCGTTTCTGAACCAAGAGTTCTAGATTTTTGCATTCCCCTGGGACGGCCACTTCAGTAAGTCGTGTAGACTTCGCACAAGCTGGCTGTTCAGTTCATCTTAATCTCCAGAATGATCAGGAGAGCCTGGCTTAGGATCAAAGACATTCCACGCAAGGCTGTAGGAGCAGACTACATGTGCAGTGCACTGGCAGCAGCAAGAAGACCTCTATAAGATGAACAGAGCAACTCAGGTCAGAAGCGAGTCAGCTGGCCTACAAAAAGGATATATAGCCAGGCCATATATGACAGGCGAAGGTCTTACAGCCTCCATCAGAAATACAAAGCATTCCCTCCAGTTTTGCTGCTCCTCTCTGCCTTTCCTCGGGTGAGGATTTGCAAAGATTTTTTTTCCCCCAACTACTCAATTGGTCTAGTAAAAGACATCACATCCACCCAGAGAACCTTGCTTTCCTCCAGCGATGCATTTTCTCAGAGGGGGCGACCTCACAAAGCTGACTAAGCCTCCAGGTTGGGACGGTATCGCCGGCATCGTGCTCATGGTGAGAGCACGCGGTCAGATGGTCCAAGCAAACCAAACAGACAAAATACAGCAGGCGAGAAAAGAGGGCCAGAGAGAAGATTTACATCAAGCGTTGCCTTTCTAGCTGTTAATAAATTTCCCATCCTGGGAAGCTCCATCCCAGGCCGAATCCTGTGTTGCCCACCACTGCACTGTGTGGTGCATTTGCTGAATGCGAAGAGCCTGCCCTGCCAGGAGAGAGCAAGTGAATGGGGGGCAAAGGGGAAACAAGCCTGCTCTGACAGAGAGCATTGGCACCACCTGGGACCGGACACGGAGACCTGACGGCCAGGTTTTCCTGGTGGTTGCTCTTTGGACTGGTACCTTTCCTCAGAGACCCCTCTGAGCCTTTTGCATGCGGTGTCCGTGGGGGGGACCCCTCCAAACAAGCACTCGGTTGACAACAGGCTTTTGAACTGAGCCCCTCTATCCCATCCCATCCCATCCCCCATATCTCCCTGCTACCCCCCAGCAATATGACCCCAGGGTCCTGTGGAGCCTGTGATTTATAGCTTGGTGATTGACAGCACCAACAAGGAGATCTCTGGGGCAAAGGCCACAGGGGGTGGGGAGGAGGGAGGCGTCTCCTGGGACCGTCTGCCCCAGGGAATGTGCTAATTTTCACTCCATTACAGTCCTTTATCTCAGCCCTGCAACCTTGAGCTCAGAGACATTATTGCTATAGTCAGAAAGGAGGAGTGCTGACTTAACTGCTTAATTACCAAATGCTTCTAAGGACCAGGGCAAGGTTCTTTGGGTAAATGTGATATTTTTTAACTATTTAGTTGGTCTAATAAAAGATACCACATTTACCCAAAGATCTTCATCTACCTGTTCTTAGACTAATACAGCTACAACCAACAACTCTTGAGGACGAGGAGCATTGAGGCTAATGAGTCCTGTGTTACTGCCATCTCCTGCTGTTCAGGATGGGGTGCAATTCACATTGGGTTGGAGCTGGTTTTTAGGGTGACTTCTCAATGGAGTGATTATTCATAGAGCAGGGGCAGATTATTGGCAGTATTTGTATTGCAGCAATGCCTAGAATTGCCCAGGCGCCAGGCACAGTGCACACATTTACCAAAGACTGTCCCTGGAGTCAAGTGATCAGTATGAGAGTCTATATATATGACTATATATATGACTGTCCCTGGAGTGAAGTGATCAGGTGCCCAGTCTGAGGTGCAGGAGAGTTGGTGTCTGGGGCCAGCTGTGCTGCTGACATCTCCGCATGGTGTCGGGCAAATCATTTCCCTTCTGCCTTTCAAGTTACCTGTCTGCAAACACCAGGATGATGATGTTTCCTTTGCTGCGATGTGGGGGTTGACAAGCTACAAACTGCTTCTGTTCTCGTGCATTTGGGTGGACAGCATTGGCGTCTCCCTCCCCGCTCCCTGGCAAGGTGATGTTATGCAGGAAAAAAAATCCTCTTGCTTGCTAGGCACAAATGTCTCTTCAGGGGACCCCGATCCAGGGAGAAAAGCATAGCCGCTTGCAAAGTGGGCCTGTTTTAATCGGTTCGGTGTGCATGGGGTTAATCTCCACATGCCTTCAGATTTTGTTTCCAGGGATCCTGAACAGTTGCCTCCAGCTGTTGATTTCCATTGAACTAGGGTGACCTTTATCTGTCTAAACTAGTTAAAACCTGCTCCACTACCCAGCAGTGTTTCTGGAGGCAGCCCAACAAACGGAGAGCAGCAGCGGTGACGCTAGCAGCCTTCCAGACGGTGCTATTTCCATCCTTCCCATTTCCTTCCTGACCTCTTTCTGTTGGGGCTCACCAGAGGTTTCCACGGGACACTTTGCTGGCCCTCCCTATCTTTATGCCGGGTTGTAGAGAACAGACACTACCTGAGCCACGTGAACGAAGAGTTTCTGACCCATTGCCTCAAGCTGCTGCCCATGGCGGAGGGTGGTGTTTCCACTGTAACTGGTCACCAAATAATCCCATTTAGCCTGTCTTCACTATTAGCAGGTTACCCATTCGTGTGTCTTCAAGGCTTGAACAGGCTGAACCTCCATTCAAGCAGCCTGTTCAAGCCTCGCTTGGAGCACGTGCCACTTGGGATAGGACCTGATTTGGTTTGAGCCAGGAAGCCCGCGTAACACGTGGTCAGTGATATCTGGGGGCCACTTCTTCACTGGGGCAAGGCTGAGAAGCATTTTATTTTATGCAGGGTAGCGGTAAGCCTGGCAGGATGCTGAGACAGGCCAGATTTCAGAACGTAGGCATTGCCCTGTGATGAAACTCGGACGCCCGGGGTTAGATGCATCAGACTAAGATCTTCTCTCTGGTAAGAGGACTTAGCAAAAGTTCCCACTGCTGCGAATCCCCAGGCAAGGTTGAGCGCCAATGGAAAAATAGTTTCCATTGGTGCTGCTGCTGTATCGATCCCTTCAACCTGCTCAGAGTAGGGCTAGGCAAAGCAGTGGCTGAAACTGCTGGCAGGCACCTCCAGGATTAACAGCAGTGTGGGTTGGGGTTTTTTTGCCAAAAAGCCCTCTTGTGTAGCTCCAGTGTGACCTTGACCTTGGGATGTGAAGAGCAGCGTGCCAAGGAGATGCTTTTGTGTTGCCTTGATGCAGAGGTTACCATCCCTTTCATCCTGGGAAGTGACACGGTGCCTTAGGAAGTGGAGTCTGCTCTCTGCAGCCAACAGCTGGGACCGTTATGAGTCCAAACCCCATGTCGATGTGAGAAGGTTATGCCTTGGCGGTCTGCTAAGCTGCCTTGAGGCAATAATCAGACTAGCACAGGACAAGAAGAGAGTGAGGGAAAGAATGGCTTAACCAGTCCTCCTGGGTCTCCATGGCCTTAGGCTGTCCTAGCGTTGCTAATGGCTGTATTATTATCAATGTAGGACCCCACCCCGCAGAGTGCTAGGCACTTGGTGATGCTTGAAAACTGGGAATCAGAGTCTGCTCTCAGTTACACCATTGTCAGTCGAATAAGTCCACTGACTTGAGTGGCTTTACTTTGGATTTACTGCAGTGTACCCTCCCCTCCCCCATATTCACATGGCTTGTTAGTCTTTGAGGAAGTCACTTTAGGTAGATGGGTGGTTTTCTATGGTCCACAAAGTTGTCTTGGTTCCTGCCTCCAAATAAGATAAGAAGAGTGCCTTTCTTCAGCCCAGTCTGGGCACCAGCAGCAGTGAGGTGACGGACTGTGCTCTTGTTTCTAGGGATCTTCCGGACGATCCAGCTGTCGAGTGGGACACGCAGCTCCTCTCCACCTTTGTGCTGAAGCACATAGAGACCAACAACATCAACCTGGTAATGTGAAGCTTTCCGCAGGACAGGGGTTTGGCAGGAGCAGGCTGCTCATGTCTCACGTCCGCTCTTTCCTGTACAACAGTTTCTGTAGAGTTTTGTGCAGATATTTTTTAACTGCTGGAGGCTCCCAGGAGCAGGCAGAGTTCTTCCCCCACCGTGAATCAGATGCTATCTGATATTGCCTCTTGTTGTAATTGGGTCCTGTGGGGCATCCTTTATGTGGGATTTTTACCAACCTCAACCAGACATCACCACCTTTGTCTGAACTTCAGCTTCTAACTCACATCTCAAGACAAAAAAACTTGAGGCAAAGCTCTGCTGAGCCTGGGAAGTGGGACCATAACCAAACCCCAGGGTTGTTAATGGAAGTGAATCTTTGGCTGAGCCCTTCAGCTGAAATGAAATGAAACCTGAAAGCGTTGCCTCCCGTGGTTTTAATTACTGATACATCGTGGTGAGCATTTGTGCGCCATTCTTGTTTCTAGTCTTTTGCAGGTGCCAAAGCTCTCCCATGGGTCTTTGCTAGGTGAAGCCAGGTCAGTTTAACCCTCTTCTAAATATATATGTTAACAACTGCTAAAAGTCTAGAAAAGAGTAAAATAGCCTCATTAAACAGAATGGGAAAGGGTGATGTTGGAAGTTAATGAAAGATTTCACATCTAGAAACCTTGGTTCAGGTCCGGGTTGGGTCATAGGTGAGTTTGGAGATATCTTATCATAGGCAGAGGTGGATGTGTGTCCACATCTTAAAATCACAAGCTCATCAGAGCTGCTCATCCTTATCCTTGAGGACCCCAGAAGATAGGGCTGGGGCTCAGGTTTGAGGTAGTCTCTGCTCAGCCTGGCTTTTGTCTTACATGAAATACAAAAGCATCACTGCAGTACGCATGACAGCAAAGGAAACCAGAGACTGCAGTGTGCACCCTGAGTCCTATGTAGCACAGGAACTGAGAGCCCCCAGAGCACAAGAAACAGCCTTGTACTTTCAACTGTCTATGGATTCGGAGCCTAATTTCCCATGAAATCCGTTGTGGAGCACAGAGGAGTGGCATGCAGCTCTCCTGGCGTCTTTCTGCGCGTTCTGGCCCTGTGAACAGACAGAGTTTTAATTTGATCTGAAAGCTCTTAACTCAAGGGGGACTTGGATTGCATGTCTGTGACTCCTGGGCAGTGAAGCAAACCTGTTCAAGTCCCAGGAGAACCCTGAAAGCACTAAACCCCCCTTGCCTGAGCAGGAAGGGCTGGCCCCCTACCGGAAAGGAAAGCAAACCCCCGCTGCTCAACAGCAGAGGAGGCTGGAGTCTGCTCCTTGCATAGCGTGAGCTGGAAAATCACGCACATTGGTCCTGAGTAGGAAACATGAACATCAGAAGTGCCCTTCGTGCCAGGCTGCTCGCATGGTAGGTATCTTTGCTACCGATGAGAGCAATGGAGCAGCCCCCCTGACTGCCTCACTCCACGGTGTTCAGGACCTGCCATAGTCTCCTAGCCAGAGAACTGGGGCAGTAGAAATGTAGGGGAGATGTTCCCAGAGAGGAATTTCTCCTAGTGACACAAAAGCCACCTTGGCCAGAGCTGGGGGCATCAAGCTGGCAGGGAGGCATACAGCATTTTAAACCACCTAAATAAATGCCCATGACCCAGATATCTGCTGAAGCATCTCTAAAGCAGGAACGAAAATAGCATGTCAGCCAAGGAAACAAGTAGCTCATTTGCCTAGTCCACCCCCTGCAAGTTAGGGGGTCTTCTCCATTGGAGGACTGGATTGGTACGGGTTGCAGGTAGCTCTTGGCTACACCAGGATCATCTCTGCTCTTCCAAGATAAGGGCCCTGCATTGATGGGGTAAAAGGAGTGCATGTGTCAATCATCCCAGCTTGGGGGAATTAGCTTAAACCAAGGGAAAAGGCCCCGCAAGACTTATAGATTCATAGATGTTAGGGTCGGAAGGGACCTCAATAGATCATTGAGTCCGACCCCCTGCGTAGGCAGGAAAGAGTAACCTCCTCTTGAAGACCCCCAGGGTAGGGGAGAGCACCACCTCCCTTGGGAGCCCGTTCCAGACCTTGGCCACTCTAACTGGGAAGAAGTTCTTCCTAATGTCCAGTCTAAATCTGCTCTCTGCTAGCTTGTGGCCATTATTCCTTGTAACTTAGGCTGACATGGCTTCAAACATATAGAAGCTAACTTGGTGGAGCTGTTGTGATTGAAGAACATGCAGCATTTTCACCTCTCAGGATGGACCCCAGGTAGAGAAACCTTTCCCACTTGTCCCCATGATCCTGGTGTAGGTAGTGGTCCCTTTTATTTCCCGAGCGGTGGCAGCGGGGAGGCAGGCTGCAGCTCCAGCGTGGCTGGAAGGAGGGGTCGTGCGGAGAGGGAGCCGCGCCGTGTTCCGTGTGTTTTTGTTCCATTACAGACTTACTCATTTCCCCAACTGCCCTGGAAGTCGGGGAGTAACTCAATCTCTTTGAGAACTGCAGGGACGTATTTCATCCAAGCTCTACATTAAATAGTACAGACAGAAATTAAAGGCCGGTGCGCTCAAAGCCAAAACTAATTTATAGACTTTGGGAACGATTTCCTGCCTGCTGGATTTATAAGCAAAGGCCAGTGCCGGGAGAGTCAGCCAAGGCTCGTCTGTCTCGACCTGGATTAGAAAGTACTTAGTGCATGTAGCGCAAATTACATGGGATTGCGTGGGTCTCAGGCAGCCTCGAGATGATGCAATCCTACAGCTCAGGATCTCAGGCAAGCGCTTGGTGACAGACAGCAGGCATGGGATGCGGAGCTGGAGTCCAGACGGTGCTTGGGCAGACCCTGAGCTAGTGCGGAGGTTCAAGGGTAGCGGGACCTTTTGGGCTGCTCTCCATGGTGGACGGGTGGGGCTCCCCCAAGTTCAGCTGCTCACGAACGGTTCCAGCCTCTTGGGCCACGTCCAGCCCAGATCTGCAAAACAGGCTCACGCTCGGCCTGCAATCCAAGCTGGATCCAAGCCTCTGGGGGCTGGGCTCAGCTCTGGGGTTTTGGATCCCAGTCTCCAGGCCCCAAAATTGGTGTGTGCTGGCTTTGGCGTTTGGTGTTGTGTGGCTTTGCCAGACACCCGGGACATGCCACAACCTGCAGAGTTCCTTGTATAAGGAAGGGAAGGGTCTCCTGAGAGACCCTGATGTGTCCCTTCTCCCCCACTGCCTCTGTCTTTGCTCAGGGTATCATTTTATCCTGTATATTTGAGGCAGGCGGGAGGAAGGGCCTGGGGGCTTTCAGGAGAGCTGGCGCCCGCTCAGACATCTGCAGCTCCTGGCCAGCCAGCGCCGTGACGCAGATCTCCATTTGATTTGGATCCACAGGCCCTTTATTGTTGATTATGGCTTCTCTCTAACCATGCAGGGACACAGGGTACAAAGTTTTGTTCATTTCCAGATGAATATCTTCCAAAAACCTGCCTAGTAGAGGGCCGGAGAGGAACTCGCATAGGTCCCTGATTGCCAGTGACCTCTCCAGAGTAACCAGGCCTGTAAGAATCATGTGGGGAAGAAATGGGGCCACAAACCAGGCTGCTCCTACAGTGTTTTGTGGGATGGCCACTTCTGAGGAAGGAACAGGGAACCTGCTCCCCCAGGAAGTCTCCTTCCAATGGAAGATGTGAGCTGCGCTTTCAAGCACTGCATGGAGCCAGGAAGAGTCAGGAGACCCAGAGCTCCAAACAGTTTCCCTCTCCCGTGCATGCAGACGAAGCATGGACTCCAGACCTCCTAGGAGATTCCTCTGCTGGAAACAGAGCAGATTTCCTCCTTCCACACCCCCCGCCTCCGGAAGGGATCTCTTGTTCTGTGTTTATCTTGGCTGCCTTGCTGGCTTCCACCAGTGAAAGTCCCAGCTCCTAAATGCCAAGGTCATCCAGAAAAATAAACCCCAGGAGCAGTTTCAGAACAGGTGCAGAGGGGGAAACCCCCAAGGGTTTGACAGTGTGAGTAGTTCCCACGTCAGGAATGTTTCCCGGCCAAGCCTGTTTTCAGCCTAGACTGTTTCAAGATGTGTATACTTGTTTGCTTGGTTTCATCGTCAGTTGGGGTTGGGCATTTAAATTGAATGCATGAAGCAATGCCCTCCAGGAAAGCTCTGTGAACTTTTCTCCAGCTAGTGACAGAGGAACTGGAAAGTCAGATTTATTATCAAGTGAATGAATCCCAGAGGCCTGAAGAATGTATTTCAATATGATTGATTGCTGCCTGCTTTCATGAGGTTAGCAGCGATGAACACAGCAGTCTGTTGGCGTGGAGTCAGCACCCAGCATGAGAGATGCTGCATATAGGACAGATGTGACGTCCATCCATCAGCAGCTGCACATCGGCTTGAGCTCGCTGCCTGCTGATACAAGACCAGCCTTGTAGATGTAGCCACGCTGCAGGTGAAGGTCGCCGCTGTGCCTGTTACGTCTCCAAGACACATCATTGCACGCACAGAACGGCATGCTGGAAGGTGCCGCAGATTGATAAGGCAGATGTTTTGAGAGTAAGGCAGGCAGCAACTCTGTAGCCCATTTAAACCCAACAGCTCCCACCAGCAAGAGCTCCCATCCAGCACAGGTGCAAAGAAGGAAACGCTCCAGAGACTCCAGCAAGGCAATAATTTCCATGTCAAGGATATTTTCCTGTCCCGGCCCTTTGCTTGTGGAAGTGGCCTGGCCTGTTTCACTACAATAATTTGCAGCTTATCTATTCCACTTCTGGGCTCTTATCTTGCCCTCATCACCTTGGTATCTGAAGCCCTTCCAGCTGCACAATAACTGCCATGACTAATGCCTGTCACAGATGCTTTTCCTCATCCTCTTCCGGGGGCCGGATGTCATGGGGTGCTTTGTGTTGGCTGCTCAGAGCACAAACCTGTCTGGGTGTCTCCGGTAGCTACATCCTCTCGTTGGGTCAGGGTCACTGTGCGGAGTAAGCACCTGATGCTGGGGGGGAGCCCAGTGGGACTCAGTGTGACATAAGATTCGTGCTGTTCAATGGGGGTGGGGGGTCAGACTGTTAGTTCTCCAGGACAAGGTCTGTGTCTTATCTCTGGGTCCACCCATTGGTGACACACCAGGGAATGATGTGACCTTGGATCATCCAGCCCATATAACCAGGTGTCTCACAGCCAGGGACAAGGACAGCCTTTGCTGGAGTCCTGAGTGAGCTGAGTGGCAAGGGCAGATCCTTTCACAGCTTCTCTTATCTCTCCCTGCCATAGGCCTGACCCCAATGCCTCCTCCCCGCTGGCCACAGTGAGGAGGCCTCCCATCAGACATGTTAGCCAACTCAAATTCACAGCCTGGGGTGAAGTGGGAAGTCCGGCTGGGGACGTGTGTAGGGAGGAGGGATTCTGCAGCAGGTGCCTGTGTTCTCTGAGCATTTCTTATCTCCCTCCTCCCAGGGCGCCTTTTGCATTAGAAAGGGCCTCTCCTGTTGGAAGAGTGGAGCAGCAGGTTGCAGCATGCCCTGGGCCATCAGGCCAGCCTACCGAGGTGCACGTCCTTTCTGCCCCAGCCTAGGTGCTGCCCTGTTGTCACCTGAGTTGGGAATCAGGGGCCTTTCGGTACCCAACAACAGGAGGGCAGAGTGAGCCCCAGGGTCAGCTCTGTGCCCACAAGTCATGTGGGTGCCCTTTTTGCACCCTCCTGTTCCCACTGCCCTGTGACAGAGGTATTGCAGGGGGCAAGAGGAGTAGCTGACTCTTGCTCCTATGCTCTGGGGAAGCCTTGGCACCTTTGGGATGTGCTCAGTGTCGCTTCTGCTGGTTGGACCAAGAAGATGGAGGCCATTGACACGCTGCCTTCGAGTGAAGAAGCAGCCCCTCCCCAAACAGCAATAAGCAGCCTGTCCTGTGGGCGTCTGCCCTAGCCAACAGCGTCTTGTGTGCAGCTGGTTGGATAAAAGAGCTAATTCCATTGCTAGGCTGTTTGTCCACAATGTGTCTGTGGGCGCGTCTACACGTGCCTCTTTTAAGCAGGCTTAGCCTAAAATCTCCACTTTTAAGGCACATTAAGGCTGCGTGTCTACATGTGCCCACCCTTAATGTGCCTTAAAAATGGCAATTTAAGACTATGTGAGCCTAAATTTGATACCTGCGTAAAGCAGGTATCAAATTTAGGTGCAAAGAGCTAAGTCACACTAGTGCTCATGTAGATGCACTAATGCGCGTTAACTTGGTGTGCGTCAATGGATACACATCGTGTTAATGTGTATTAGCATGTCTGTATGTGCGCTAATGCGACTTAGCTATTCATGGCTAGATTTAATGCACCTTAATGCACATTAGTGCATCCACATATAGACACGCACCTACGTTCTCGTAATGCGCCTTAAGCTAAGGCGCATTAAGTTTAGGCGCGCATAAATACATGTGTAGACACGCCCTGTCAGTAGCAGTGTGTTGGCGCCCTGGTGCTGTGCTGCTCCCAAGTCCCGGCTGCTGTCCTGGGCGGCGTGGGCTGCATGCATGCTCAGGAAGAATGTTCCGGGGGGGTGTTGCTGGTAAGAAGCTTTGCTCTTCTCAGATGTTGCTGCAAACAGGCATCAGCTGTATTGGATGGGGGCGCATCTTGCTTGTCTTTCAGTTTGGCCTTTTGCTGTGCTCAGCACCAGGGGGTCTGCATTTCTTCTTATGCCTGTGGCACTGCAGAGCCCTGGTTCTGCACAAGGCCCCATAGTTCTGGGTGCTGTACAAGGCCAACTCACTGCTGGCTTGCAGCTGAGGAGCGCTGAGGCTGACGGTAGCTGCGAGCATGGCTGTGGGTCTCTGCATCTCTCAGTGTGTTTGTTTGTGGGTTCTTTTGCAGGTGGTAACCTTTGATGCTGGAGGAGTGAGTGGCCACGCTAACCACATCTCCCTTTACGCGGCTCTAAGGTACGATGCTCCACAGTCCCCGGGGAGTGGCACTGAAATGCTGTTTGAAAGAGGGTGAATGTGCTTGTGTAACTAAAGGACTGTGAGCTAGAACCCAAACTCAGCTGCAGGGTAGTCTGCCCCTGTGTATAATTCCTCTAGGGCATCAGGTGCTTTTACAAGGGGAAGAGGGGTATTTTACATGTGGGACCAAACCCATTGCTGCTGCTGCATGACTGAGGTCAGAGCAGACGTACCAGGGAGGAATTCAATCCAGTGTGTCCACAAGAGGTTTGTATGCTAATGTGCACATGGGTCTGCCAACTCTGGACTTCGGTGTGAGGGCTCAGGTACCGGCACTACCCATGGCAGGAGATGCCAGACATCAGGGCTGGTGTGTGTTTTGTCCACATGGTTCTGGCTCTCCATGAGGGCCAGGCCAGTGATGGCAGGAGGGGTCTGCAGGCCCACAGTGCAGCTGTATGCTACCAGGGAGGATGAGAGTTCCTAGAGCGGGGGCAGAAAAGGGTGCAGCAGGCTGGGGCCAAGGCGAATCTCCACCATGGTTGGGAGAGCTTAAATTTGGGGCCCTCTTTTTTTCTCCCTTCCTTTCTTGTGTTTGCCCTTGTCTTGCAGACAAGCATACTTCCACTCTCTGTGCCCCGGTGGGTTCTCGTGCAGGCTGCCTGGCATGGTTGTGACTTTTTACACACCGATACTTCTGCCACATTCAGATTAACCCTGCCTCGGTCTGTCTCCTCCCCATGAGCTATGGCTGCAGTCACTGCAGAGGTGCTTAGGAAGGATCCCATGAGCTATGGCTGCAGTCACTGCAGAGGGGCTTAGGCAGGAGCCAGTCCCACTGAGAAGAGCAAAGGCCACCAAGACCATCCCAGTATTGCCAAAAAGTCATTTTGAGTTCCCGCAGCTTGTGGCAGGGCCCACGAGCTACACGGTTGCAGCATAGTGCCTTCTCGCTCGGTCCTGAGACACTTCCGTAAGCATCTCTGCTAATCACAGGGTGACACTGGGGAAGGGCTTGAGAGAGCCTCTGTTGGGGGAGACGCTGTCTCAGAGCCTTCCCATTTGAAATGATGGGGTTTTCCACAGATCTGGTGGTGGTCGCAGTCATTTTGCTGTGCACGAGTCATAGAAATCATATAATCATAGAAAATGAGGGTTGGAAGGGACCTCAGGAGGTCTCATCCAGTCCAACTCCCTGCTCAAAGCAGGACCAGCCCCAACTACATCATCCCAGCCAGGGCTTTGTCTACCCGGGTCCTCAAAACCTCTGAGGATGAAGATAGCACGGCCGCTCTGGGCAGCCCGTTCCAGTGCTTCACCACCCTCCTAGAGTCACAGGATGGTTTGGTTTTAAACAGACTGTCTTCCCTCCCAGCGGGCGCTCTGTTTGCTGCCGCTGCCCCAGTTTCTGCGTCGAGCAGTGAAGTCCACCTCAGCCCAGCGAGAACGTGAAAGCGGAGTCCCTCTCTGCTTAGGGCAGAGCAAACCGAGTGGAAAACAGTCACTGCTATATTTAACCACCGTGCATTATGTCGTTATAGCAACTGCATCCATAAAACTTATATCAGCAGCGCCATCTAAAAGCGGCATCAAGGCACCATTAGCCAAGCCGGTCTTGTCTGTTCCATTTGGGGAAAAAAGTCTCTGACTTCTCTAGCTTCCTCCCAACGGGCTGCAAGCTCAGCATGGGGCTTGAGGCTTTGCAGGGAGAGCACGTGGCACTCAGTGTGGTGATTAGGAGGTGATTATGAGGCTTGGCAGTGCCTGAGTCCCCTGGCATGGCTCTGTGCATGCGTGCTCACTCTGGAGAGCAGCATTGCGTGATCCTGGGTATATCTGGGGCACGTGCATGGGAGAAAAGAGCATTTGCTGTCCCGTGCAGTTGCACCAGAGTGTGGGGGTAGGTTAAATGCCAGTCGCAAGGAGCCGGGAGGAGACCGCCACTATCCAGCAGGCCTCGCTCAGATGAACGGAGCAGAAGGCACCAGCTTTGTCCGTCCTCAGCAGCCGTTTCCCTGGTAACGGTGACCAGATGACCAGCTCTCTCTAATCAGAGAAAAGAAACCTCCCGGAACGGCGTGTCCTCCCCCAGCTCTTCATGGCATTAGCAGTTTGGTCACGTTGCTGATGGAAGCTGCGGCCGTTCCCGCTCTACCCCAGCGCCGTGGGGGTGAGAGCGGGGAGCCGTGGAGCAGCCTTCTCGTCCATGCCCTGGAACTGCCCTGAGTCACTGGCTCTTCCAGGCACTGGCAAAACCCAACCTGAGCTTCCGAAGCGTGCACAAAGGCGGCAGGCCTGCACGTTGCGAGCTGTGGGAGCTCGGCCTGCCAGGGAATCACAGCCCGCGCGGCCAGGTAGGGAGGAGGCATCTCAGCTCATGAGCATTTAGCTCCGGAAGCCTGACCTGGGATGTCTCTGGACTCCCTGGGGACCAGCTGCCCTTCTTCTCCCGCATCTCTTCAGCCCGTTAATTCGGCAGATCAGTGGAGCCCGTGTTCTTATGTATGCGCTGCATTCACCCAGTGCTCTGCAGTGACCAACACCATGAAGTCAGACCCTTGCGGAGGGAAGGTCTCAATGTCCCTGCACAATTTTCCATGGAGCAGAGGATCACCAGAACTGCAGACCACCCAGCAGGGCTTGGGCTCCCCTGCCCTCTCCCTTGGACCCCTCAGTGAGTCCCCCGACAGCCCAATCCTGACGTCCTCAGTTGGTTTTTACTTGTTTCTTGCTGCCAGCTTTGGTCTGAGATGCTGGTGCGCCGCGCTTCCCGGAGAGTTGTGCCTAGGAGAGCTGGTGGAGAGTTGCTCCTGAGACTGACCAAAAATCAGGTCTCGGATTGCACCTAATGCCTAAACACCGAGGTCCTGTCCTGCCAGCTGCTGAGCACCTGCAAGCCCTTAGCACTCCTGCATCTCAGGGGAGATGCTCAGCACCCTACGTGATTGGACCTGAGCGAGGAGGACAGCAGTGGACCATGCAGGTGGATTCCAGTGCAGGCATGCTGCCAGCTGCAGTGCCTCCTCGTCGTGTTTTCCTGCAACTTCCGCTTCCCCTGCAGCGCAGCACGGTTCGTCTCCAGAACAACCTTCCTGAAATGGCAGCAGCAAGTGGCCGTCACCTCTGCTCTACTTGGAGCTGCTCCATGGAGACCACTGGAGGGGAATAGGATGGGCAACGGGAGAAGCCAGGTTTGGGAGAGTACTGTCAATATTCCTGGGCGTGCGGGGGAGGCAGAGCCCTGCCTGCGTTGCATGTTCCCACCACAGTGCGCTCCATCCTAGTGCTGGGGGGATGAACGAACACCCCGGCGATTTCTCCACGGCACAGATCTCTTCCCCATCACTGCACTGACCCAAGGGCAGCCCGTGCCATGCAGCTGGCTCAGGATGGAGGCAGCAAGGACAGCAGCTGCATTGCCGCACGTCTGCTCCCCGCTCCAAGAATAGCTCCTACGACTCGGAGCAGAGCAAGGCTGGAGCACCCTGCCGCCAAGCTGCCATGCCCATCAAGCCCCTGAACACAAGTCCCCTCTGTTCCTAACTTGAACTGTCCTTCCCTGCCAGCGGGGCCCCTGCTCCTCACTGGAACTTCTCCAGACAGGCCCTGAAAAGTGAGAGGGGTATCCCCATGCCCTGAGGCTTGTGGCCAGTGGTGATGATCACCAGTTGGCTCCTGGGGCCAAGCTTTTCCTTCTGCCCCTTGCACATCCCCAAGGCCGGGAGAGAAGGTGGCTGAAGAGGGAGACGTCAGCTGTGAGTGGAGAGCCACGTCAGTGTGAAGTGAGGCAGAAGGCAGGGCAGACTAACTACCTTAGAGACTAACCGTAGGGTGGAGAGGGATGGCATAAACTTTACCAGGCCTGTTCCCCTGTGTGATGGAGTCAGTCCCGTGGGCTGCAGATCTCGCACTCTGGAGAAGAGAAGAAGGCTGATGGGAGACTCTATCCAGGGCCTCTGCCCCCTGGTTGCTGCGCCTGAGTTCTGCCATGACCTGCATTTCTGGCCGGACTCCGGCTTTGAACTGCTTTGTGTATTCATCACCCAGCACTTCCTATTTTGTCTATGCCCGTGTGGCTAATCCCTTTCCTTGAAACGAACCAGAAACGAGAGATGACGGGCTTTTGCAAGTGACGGGAGGAACACTGCAGTTTGCATACAATGCGTAGTTTATCCCGCTGGATTTACACGTGAATTGTCACATTGTCCGTGCGCAGCGCTGCGCGGGGACGATAACGATCTCTGTCAGTACTACACAGGGTGAAGTAACCTTGCTTGGGGGTTTGGGGTTTTTTTTGGGGGGGGGGGAGGGGTTGGCAAACTGGCCCCTGTCTGGGTCTGCACAGCCCAGCTGTGGGACTGCTCCTGCTGCCATCTACCGGACACCTGCACGTCTGGCCCACCGCAGCAGGGGCCAGAGGACAGCGGAGTGAACGGGAGCTCTTGGAAGTGCCACACAGCAGAGGGGAAAGAGAGGCACAAAGGAAAGTGAGCCCCAGAGATGACAAGAATCAAGGCTCAGCATCCCTTGCGCCTTCGGCACATGTGCTGCAGCACACTTGGCGTCCCCACGGTCTCATCCCCAGGCTCTCTGAGTTTTTAAGGGGCATTTTCCTGCACTAGGCCAGGATAGAGGCACCCTGGCAGTACAGCCCTGCCGTTATCCAAACTGTGCCTGGGATGTGGGGGCCATTTGTGCTTCCCACACCGCTCACTGCAACAGCCACTAAACCCCTGGCTGTGGCCCTGGGTGAAAGAGGGCAGCTCCCAAAGCGTGAGCGAGGCATCCTGGGCAGCAGTAGGAAGCCAAGTGGGTGGAAGCTCTCCTGTCTGTGAACAGTGATCCAGCCCAGCTACATGTGCAGAGACCCTCGGGCATGGCCCAGAGAGGCCTCCAGCTTCCCTAGGAGCTCTGGCAGGGAGGCACTGCTGCCACGCCAGCAGCGCCTTGGAGGGCAGACATTCTTGCAGTGACACCGGGTGTTGGGCAGCATCTTGCAGCATTTCCTCCGACACAACACTGGGTGTCAGGGAGCCCCTTGGCCTGGACTGCTCATGCTTGTGCTGAGGATGAGGAGGGTGAAGGCACACGGGGAGAGAAGCCATTTGTGGGCAGCCAGCCCCACTCTGTCCCTGCATCAGTGGGCCCAGGGCACCCAGCATCTGCTCTTGGAAGTGCATTTCAAGGGGTACCACTGCAAGTGCGTGTGCAAGCGTGTACGAGTGTGCGCATGTGGGTGCGTGGTCCATCAGACCCTCAAAGCCCCTCTGTATGTGAAGCCAGGTTTGCAAGGCCTCCCCTTGCACTCACCCTCTGTCTCTTCTCCTTCCCAGGAACCTGCACTCGGAGGGGAAGCTCCCTGAAGGTATGTCGGCCACGTCTCCCCAGTGCTTGCCCCAGGTGTCAGCAACCTCCCTCTCCCCCGTTAGGCAACCCCTTCACTTGCATGTTCTGTCTGAATCATCCACCTTCCATTTGCAATGCAAATGAACCTGCAGCTGAACTCCCTGCTGCTCTGTCAGCTCCCCATGGACTCCTTCCTGGACCAAGGTGTTGCAGCTGTTGGGGCCAGCCTGGCTGGGGAGCTGGGGTGCAACGCTGTGCTCAGCCCCTTCTCACTGTGTCCCTCACCACTTGCCTTTACCTGCCTTCACCACTCTTTGGTCTCCCCTGGTTTGCTGATCAGCCCTAAGACAAGCTGCAGTGGTGCCAAGGGTTTAGAAGTGCAGACAGAGGGAGAGGTGGAACCAGGTGACCCTCTGGCTGAGGGGCTTTCTAGCCCTGTCCCAGCACAGTCTGAGCTCTGCTCCCCTTACTGCTGCGGGCAAGTATGACGGCCGTGTCTCAAGCCTGTGTCCAGCCCCTAGCTGCAGGAACGGCCTCCCACTATTTGGTTAGCAGGGGCAGGGAAAAACCATCTGTGTCCCTGCTGGGGAACAGCAGGAGCCAAAAACAGAGAGGAACAGCAGCTCCCTGGCCTGGGGCTGCTGTTCACTGCTGGTCTGGTGGAGTGGGCATGAGCTCAGACGCCAGCGTCTCCTCCACTCTGTTTCTGACTGACCCTCTGTGGCAACAGGTAAGTCACTGTCCCTATGCATGCCTCGATTGTCCTGTCTGTGAAGTGGGAGCATTAACACTGACCTCTCCTCCAGGAATAGGATAAAAACGGAGGTCTGGGGAACTAAAAGAAATGGAGGTTCAGGGAAGACGCAGGGGTTTCATATGTCTGGAAGGCTGTCCAGATGGAGAGTGATTGTTCTCCCCTGCCCTGGAGGCCAGAGCCTGAGGCAGTGGGCTTGAACAGCAGAGTCCAGGACCTGTCATGAGAAGCTTCTGAGCTGCCAGAACAGGAGGAGCCAGCTATTAACCCAGTGGAAGCTCCATCACCGGAGGTTTGGGAAGAGGCTGGACAGGCACGGGTCTGGGGTGGCTTAGGAGCAGCTGGGCAGAGGGCTGGTCACGATGGCCCTTGAGGTCCTCCAGCCCTATGGTTCTGAGTTTGTGCAGCACTGGGAAGGAGAAGGGGAAGGGGAAGAGGCAGGGGCAGCTGGTGCTGAGCCTTGCTACAGTCGTCTGGAGAACGGGCCTTGCTGGAGCAGCAGAGGGAGCTCCAAAGTGCGGTGGACAAGATGCAACGAGCACTGGCTGTTACTGCCATGCTCTGTGGACAGATTTGTACCGGGGGCCTCTACGCCAGGCTGGCTTCAGACACTGCTGGAGCTTCACGCTGGTCGTTGGGGCTGGGTTTAAACGTGTCTAAAATTGGTACCAGGAGCCAGGCTCACGTCTAGGTGGCGCCTGTTTCTCCCCCAGTGTCAAAGGACTCCTGAAGCTATGCTCGCTCCTCTGATTACATCACATCTGACATGACCTACAAGTGCCCATGGAGCGGGGAGCCCCGGCGCTGCTGCTTACACTGAGCCTTTCCAAATATAGTCCCTGACCCGCTGACATGTCCGGCATTTCTAATTTGATCTGGCGGGCATGCGGGGGCCATGCATCAGAGGGGCTTGGTGACAGGAGCGTGACGTCAGGAGCACAGCTGAGAAGCACGCTTAAAAGCCGGGGGGCGTCTGAAATTGAACCTGCCTAAATGCATGGGATTGGTGGATCCACAGAAAATCCTTCCACGTGTCATTGGGCAGTGAAGCCTGTCAGCGTGGTCCCTGACAGGTTGTGAGACAAGATGGCACCGTGTGCAGTGATGTGCCCGTGAGCACCCCACATATCCCACCTGGCCTCCTAAGCCTCTGCCCAGCGTGCACACCACACACCCAGGTCCTGGCTGGAACCAGCTTCATCCTGGAAGAGCCCGGGTACAGGCACCTAGCAGGAGCAGCATCAGCAGCTCTACTTGCATGTGCTTGTTGGAAGGAGAAAGCCCGACTGGCTCCCTTCAGGCCCCGCAATGCTATTCCAGCTGCCAACAGCTTCTCTACACTCGCATCAGGTTCACAGGTGCAGCAGTCTGCCCCGCACACAGAGGTTATAAGAGCAAATCCCTCAATAGCACTGGGTGGGTGTTGCCTCTCTCTGACCCAGCTGGGAGCGGGAAGCACGTTTCCCCAGCCCTTCCCCTCTCCAGCCCCTACCTGCTTCCTGGCACCCACTGCTCACAGGCGGAGCAGCCTCTGCTGCTAGTGCCTGGTGACCCCAGTCACCTGGCTGGCACAGAGGCCTCCTGCAGGGCACAAGCTGTGGCTGCCTGGCTGTGCCTGCCCCCAGCCTGGTCAGCAGGACTCCGAGCTGGCACCTCTCGCCAGCAGCACATTCCCTGGCAGGGTTTTTACTTTCAAGGAACATGCGGGCTGCTGGGGCGGAAGGAGGTCAGGGCATTTGCTGCAGGAACTGGGGTTTCTTAGATAAAGATGGGCTGGAAGCATGAAGGACGGTTTCCTCCACAGGAGCGCCCGTAACCCTAAACCCTCCTCTGCTCCCAGCTTTGCAAGAACACCTTGGGCAGCTCTGCCAGGCTCATAAACAGTTGGCTGGAAAGCAAGAGGCACCTTGCATTGCGGTTGCCCCCAGCCCCTCTCCCTGCCCCGCGCAGGGCTGAGATGCCAACAGGTGCCTGGTGGAAATGCTGGATTTTTTAATTTTTTTTAAATAAGAAGAAGAATTTATAAATATATATATGGTGGAAATGCTGGGTGCCAGGGCAGGAGATTCCAGTTCCAGAGCTCTCCTCTGCTATTCAGCTCGGCAGGGCATGACCCCAGCCCTGCCAGCTGGACCTACCCAGCAAGCAGATTGCTGGGCTGCAGCTGCCTGAAGGATCTTGTGGGTAGCATCTGATCAGTGAGTTCTCCATCCGTGTCCCCTTTGTGCTGCAAAATGCGTGCAGCCTGCTGGTGGTACCCCCTGGGGACAGGCTGCAGATCCTGAGCTGGGTAAGTCCTGGCACTGAACCACATCTGAATAATTCCCTTTTGGGAACGGAGGCGTGGGCCTTGTGGGAGCGCATGGAGGGGATGTTTGCATCTGCCTGTCACAGCAGCCCTGTCCCGGTGGCAGCGGGACCAGTGCAGGGTCCAGCTCTATGCAACTAGCAGCCTGAAGAGCAGCAGCGGGGCACTGACACAGCAATGGCCATTGGCCTGGTGAAACAAGCCAAGTCTAAACCTGCCTCTGAAATGAGGCCTGGGGCTTGTTGCCCGCTCCCAGAGAATGCCTTGAGCCCCCTGGCCTGCAGCCCGGCTCCCCACAGCCCAGCTCTTGCAGGGCAGGAGTCCCCCAGGCACAGGCCAGGGAGTGGTGCAGGGTGTCCCTGGCTCACGCCTGGTGCTTCCAGGGGGCTAGTTGGCACAGGCATCCGCTCGTCACAGCCTCGCTGCAAGGACTAGCTCAGTTGCTGTTAGCAGACAGGTGCTCCTCTGGATTGCTGCCTTTGCAGTGTGAATTGCCTGGGCGCATAGAGTTCAGGAGAGCCTTGGAGCTCAAGGCAGCAGGGCCACCTGTTCCCAGCTTCTGGGCTAGGGCTCATCTTGGGCTTGGCGTTACTTGCAGCCTGCTTTCCACCATCCCAGAGCTCCACCTGCTGGCCACGGCCCCCACAGCCCACTCCGGTTTTCCACTCCGCTCTGCCGAGCTTGGAAAAACACCTGAAACAATGAGCGCAATGGCAGCAACGTCAGCTTTGGAAGCACTGAGGAATCTCAGGGCAGGTCCCAAGGAGCTCTGCTCCCTTCATGGGACCAGGAGCTGAGCTGAGTTCAGTAGTGAGGACAATTTAGTTGTGAAAGGAAAATTCACAGGAGTCTTAGAAATATCAGCAAAATCTCCCCCACCTGTTCCAGGCACCCCCTGCCTGGTAAGCATCTGACAGTGCCAATACCAGCCTGGGTAACAGTTGACACCATCCGGACCAGACCAGGAAAGCCTTCCCTGCAATGGAGGAGGGACAGCAAACCAAGGGCTTCTCATGCAGTTTTTATCTGACACTGGTTTGGCATTGAAGGCCTTCCTGTGCACCCTGCCTGGAGTGAACCAGAGCAGCTCAGAAATCCTTTAGGTGGTGGGTCTGTGGAGGCAGGTTGCCAGCTCGTAAGTCCACATCCAGCCCTAGCAGAACAATTAAGAGGTAAAGAAACATTTGAGTGGAAGAGCAGGTGGCATGAAAGGAGAGGCCGATGAGGTTTGGAGGTGGGGTGCCTGCCTCTGGCATGGGGAACAGCCATTATTGGAAGTTCGTAGGTGCAGGTTGGAGAAGCATCTGCCTGGGATGGATCAGACAGAGCTGGACTAGATGTGATGCCCTGAGGGTCTGCCCAGCCCGATCCTTCTATGATAGGGACCCCTGTAGCATCTGAAAACCCAGCCTGGTGATCCTGCAGGCTAGTAACTATCCTGCTCTTTTTTGTCTTTGTGCAGGATGCCGAGTCCTCATCCTAGAGTCGGTGAATCTCCTGCGGAAGTATATCTCCGCGCTGGATGTGCCCATTAGCTGTCTGCTGTCCCGGGATGTTCTCTTCATACTAACCAAGGAGGAGTCTGAACAAGCCAAGGTGAGATGCTTTGTGCCTGCCCCGCCAGTTAGATCATGTCATAGTGATGGTGAGGGAATCACCCAAGAGGGTCTCACACACTTGGATTATTCAGGTTGCATTTTGGCAATTTATGATGATTCAGTAGATTGGCTTTTAGGAATCCAAAGGGCGTGAGTCTTGCACCGCAGCTTGTAGCCACCCAGGTATTGGATGCAGAGGTGTGGTCTGTAGAGACTGCCTTTCTCTGCATGAAATATTCTGTCTAGATGGGATCGTGCAGGCTGCTCAGCTCAAGACAGGGCACTGCTTGCTAGAGCCCGCGGTCGCCAACTGCAGCTCCAGGTGGGTGGCAATGGCCACTCCTAGCAAGTTGCACTCTCTTAGGGGCAAACCTGGGGATGCTCTGCTCTGGGAGTCCTGGTACCCAGTGCTGAGCTGTCACCTATATGAGGGCAGCAACAGGACACTCCTGGTACAGAAACTGCTCTGAGACTTGAAAGCACCATTAGTTACTTGGGCTTCTGGACCTCGGACCCTGTCCTCCCCGGAGGCACAGGCTTCCTGACTGTCGTGTTATACACACCACCGTCGGTGTCCTCCTGGCAGCTGCAGATCAGAAGCCACTATAAATGATCAGTTCAGTCCAAATCCTGCCAGGGTGGGGGCCCCACTGTTAATCTAATAGGCAACTTTCCAGAAAGGCCTGGGTGCTGCCCTCCGAATGGGTACGGAAGTTTCCTCTTTGTCTCCTTCTAGCGGGCCATGCGGTGTCATCGCAGCCAGCTCCTCTGGTTTCGCCACATCTACATGGTATTCTCTCGCTATATGGTGATCAATTCCCTCCGCCTTCTGTGACGCAGTGCAGAGTCGCACACACCTCCCAGTGCGCTGAGATCCCAGAGAAGGGACCAAAGGAGAGAGGAAGTCTGCCAGGTCAAGCACTACTGAAAGCACCTGCTTCTGCCTGCCATGGGAAGCAGACAGTGCCCAGAACCCCTTGACTGCAGACGCATGCTGTATGTACTTCCTTCTGCTCCTTTACTTGGGCTCTAACAACTCTTGAATGTTCTCATTGTAATAACCCAATAGGATCAGAAACATGGAACAGTCTGAGGCTAATTACAAGTGAGAGTTCAGACATCACTCAGGTTACAGCACTGCTTTTCTTCAGGGATCTAGAGCTCAGGGTCACCTGGCAATCCCTGCCTTGCGCCCTGTTCCCCAGGGCAGGCACCAGGAAGGACATGTCCAAGGGCACATAGTCTCCCTTGGGATTTGATCCTGCAGCCCTCAGGCTGGAATATTGGACCACAAAGGACTACTGGGTCATGGAGGACCCCCATTCAGGCAGCCTGCCACTTCCTGAACTTTAAGTCCCAAATCTGTAAAATAAAACATCAGCAATTACAGACGGATGTGCTGGTTCCTTCCACCTTGAGCCCCCAGCCAGGCTGTGGGGTGAGCAGCAGACTGTGGGGTGAAGCATTAGCATTTATTCCTACAGGGTGGCAGCACGACAGGCAGTTCTCCAGTGAAGTATGTTTGCAGACATCGACGTTCCAGCAGCCCGGTGTGGGTCCTCCTGCCTTTGAGTTCAGCGGGTAAGTGATGAGTCAGCCAGTTCTCACCTAGCTGTGTATAGTGTGTAAGTCTACGTAGAGGTTGGAGCAGAGAGCAAAGGAGGACTGTCACCCTGAGGCAGTCATAACAATGCTCATCACTCCCATTGTGCTTTCCCCTCAATACTGCACCAGCTATTAAAACAAAATTAGGGCTTAACTGTGTGCTCAAGCCCTGATCTCATGCTTAAATACGTACCTAAGAACATGGCGTGGTCTTTCCTTACACAGCAAAGCACCTTAACATGTGGATTCACACAAGAACACTGCCAGGGAAGTTAACTTAAGTATGTGCATAAGTATATAGTTGTACTAGAGCCTATCAAGTCACTATAAATGGGGTTTAACTGTAAACCCGGAGGCAGACCAGGGTAACAGAGTAGTGTTCCCAGAGACGGGACTGTTCTATGTAGGAGAATGGTATAAACCAGACAGTAACACAATTAGGACAGGTCTTCATTAGACTCTTTCAATGGAAGCAAGAATCTTGTTCTGGCCAGTGTGATTTGAACATGGTAGGTAAAGTACCAAGGAGCCAGCTTTGGGATGGGTCCAGAACCAATGGGCTTTGAGAGTGGAGGGGTAAATCAGGCAGCACAGAGGAATTTACTTAAGGAAAAAAAGCAAAGATTTATTTCCCTCAGAGCTCAGCACAGGACAGCTTGAGCTAACATCACGCGCTGGTCCACCTGGGCCAGTGCACACACTTGGCGCCCTGAAGTGGTGTCACGGTTTTGACATGCTCCTGATAGTCTTGTGCTCCTTCACTGCCTTCTCCCACTCCTTGCCATTGATCTCCTCGATGGTGGTGCTGTGCACAGTGCCCTCATCCAAGCAGTGTGGGGCAATTCCTACAGAAAGAGGAGAAATAACTGCCCAGAAGGGGAACTGGCCCATTCCAGGGCTGGCACAGCTCTTGGTCCAGCTACAGCTGCCAAGCGCCGGTGCACTGTGCTGCCTTGGACAGAGTGCTTGTGGTCCCAGCGGGCATGAGCCCAGCTGGACACTCAGTTTTGTTGCCAGCTGTTTGCCAGGTTTCCCTCCCTGTTTCTTTTACCTACCATAGCCATCCGGGTTAGAGCGGGGGGTGTAAAAGCTCTGCACACCGCAGGTCTTGCAGAAGGTGTGCTGGGCGCGGTGTGTGTTGAAGGTGTACTTGGTTATGTTATCAGCACCCTGAGCAAACAGAGAAAGGACAAACGTTTGGCGGAGGAGCAGGAACAGGTCACTCCCCACTGCCTCCGGGCATTGGGCTTGTAACTAAGAAGTCCAAAATGGCAGGCACAAAACAGAAGCTTCATTACAGCCAGACTAAAAATATCGTCGTCTGAGTTACAGGGTTCCTGCGCTGCTGTTGCTCCTTTTCCTCTCTCCTCCCCTCACAGTACAACAGGCACCAAGGCTTTAACTTCAGCGTGGTACTCTGTTGCCACAGGCCTGTTTTTTAAATGCCCCACAACAAACAAAACTGAACTTCTGTTGTTCCAAGAAGCCGTGGGCAAGTCTCTGGGTTCATCTGAGCCCACAGCGTGCTGTAGTGTGGCAAACTGTTCAGCTGCAGTGGAAAATCCAGGGAAATCTGATTGTGAGGAGTTGAAGAAAGCCGGAAGCCAAGCTAGGCAGTGCCCTTGTAACCATAAAGATTTAGAAGTTAAGCTTGCAATTAGGATTGAAAACATCAAGGTAAAATAGGCTAACACTGACCTAAGAGAGAGGCAGAATGAACACTTTGGAGTGACGCTGCCAGCGCCTCCGCCAAGACTCACGGAGCCAAGACCGATATGTCTTCCAGAGCTTTGCCACAAGCCCTTAGCTCGTTAGTAGCTCGTTAGTAGCACGAACAGTGCGGAAGCCCTGCCCTGTACCACCCCAGAGGATAGCAGCCCTTGCCCACAGCACAGTCTTTCCCTGCCTAGTGTGTTCCCTTTTCACATGTGGAACTTTCCATCCTGAGTTGTGCTAGCAAATGCCCTGCCAGGCTCTGGGCATCCCAGTGGAGTCCTCAACTCCACGCGCTCCCCACCAGCCAGCCACAGGCACGTTTATGATGCCCACCTGGCTACTGCATGCATCTCTCAGGCCCACCCCACTCGTGCACTTT